CTCTCTTTGAGCTCCCGACACCGACCAGCCCGCTCGACTTTCCTCAACCTCTCACGCACACACAACCAAAGACAGGCAATTTAGCAGAGATATCGTGCCCACCGTCGAAATGACTCAACTCAACGGCCAGAACCGGGCGCCAAGCAGTATGTTCAATGTCGTCCTTATCAACCCTTATCAATCACTGCCAATGGCTAACCTTCACCCAAGCCTATAGCAATGGTCACGGCAAGTTCTTCCAGGATGGAGGAGTATGGAAGGAGGCGCCTTTACTCAAGGGTACTACCAAGTTTGAGCCTCTGCCCGATGTGAAGAACATCATGATCACCGGCGGCGCAGGCTTCATGTAAGTCGCAGTCTTGGCACTATTGGGCCGTAAATTGACGAATACTTCAGTGCATGCTGGCTCGTCCGCCATCTTACTCTCACTTACCCGGACGCCTACAACATCATCTCGTTTGACAAGCTCGACTACTGCTCGTCACTCAATAACACTCGTGTTCTGAACGAGAAGGCAAACTTCACATTTGTCCACGGCGACATCACCAACCCCACAGAAGTCGTCAACTGCCTAAAGCGGTACAACATTGACACCGTCTTCCACTTTGCCGCTCAGTCACACGTCGATTTGAGTTTCGGCAACTCTTATGGATTCACTCACACCAATGTTTACGGCACCCACGTTCTGCTTGAGAGTGCCAAGAGCGTCCACATAAAGCGCTTTATTCACATTTCCACCGATGAGGTCTACGGTGAGGTGAACGATGATGACGACGACCTCCTTGAGACCAGCATCCTTGCACCCACGAACCCTTATGCCGCCAGCAAGGCTGCAGCCGAGATGCTCGTACAGTCGTATCAGAAGAGCTTCAAGCTCCCCGTTATTATCGTGCGCAGTAACAATGTTTACGGGCCGCACCAGTTCCCTGAGAGTACGTCAAGATGGAAATTCTGCTAGATCTTTGCTAACCGAATCAGAAATCATTCCCAAGTTCAGTTGTTTGCTGAACAGAGGCCAGCCCGTCGTACTCCACGGCGATGGAAGCCCCACTCGTCGCTACCTGTTTGCCGGTGATGCGGCCGATGCCTTTGACACTATCCTCCACAAGGGTCAGATGGGCCAGATTTACAATGTTGGATCCTACGATGAGATTTCCAACATTGACCTCTGCAGCCATCTCTTGAAGGAGATGAACATCCCTTTCTCTACAACGGACGAGTTCAAGAAGTGGGTTAAGTACACACACGACCGTCCTTTCAACGATCACCGCTACGCCGTTGACGGCACCAAGTTGCGCCAGCTCGGATGGGACCAAAAGACAAGCTTTGCTGATGGTCTGCGGATCACCGTCAACTGGTATCGTCAGTTCGGCGAGGAGTGGTGGGGTGACATCACCTCTGTTCTGACGCCTTTCCCTGTTGTTCAGGGCCTGGATGTGTCTGCGGACCAGGAGCCCGTGGCCGACTCGCCGCCCACCCCCGAGTCGAAGAAGAGAAAGGTCATTGATGGCGTTAACGGCACAAATGGCCACTCTGTTAGAGCATAGAGGGTCATGTAGTGAGTGGCGTGGTGGACGAGGACATGAAAATGGGCAAAGGGACACGAAAGGGTGCCCCAAATTGTAACGATGTAAATCCTTTGGCGTGCAACACGGCTGGCGTATGGCCAAGAGCTTGGCAAGTTTGCAGAACATTTCTGGCTCCGGATGGGGGCGTAAAGGGCACAGTATGGCGGTTCATCATAGAGAACATATGGTCGGCAATCAAAGCTTGTTCAAAAGTCAAGTCATCATTTGAGGTCCGTTTGCATTGTTTGCGTCGTGATTTTGATTAAATGTTCATGCCCGATATGGTAGTTGGCCAACGCTGGTGAGTGAACCGTCTATATATTCGGATTGATACCGCTTTGGAACTGGGAGTTTAAGGAGGCAAAGAGGGGAAACTGAATAGCATTGGCACAACAACAATATCGATCAGCTTGTCTCTCTGATTCTGCATCTTTACATGGAGAAAAGATTGGATTAAACCTGTCAGTATGATGGTGGAAGCCGGTCACTATGTGCTTGAATCTGGAGGAGGGTTGGTTCATGCGCATTTGGAACGAAAAGATGGGCTCATGAGCTGTGCCAGACGGAAACTTTGGTAACCTGGTTTTAAATTGCTTTTTTCGTGATTCCGACGAAGGGGCTGGATCACGTTTTCATACATGTAGTAGATGCAGTAGCAGCTGCTAGGTTCATTGATTGCTTTGTTTTACCCAACCAGCTGATGGGCCGACCACCCCTCGTTCGATCACCCCTCTTTCTGTATTCCGTGCATGTGTTTCTTTCATTTCCTTCTTGCTGCCCCTTCTGTATTCTTTTTTTCTTCTTCTCTTTAGTGTCCCCTCTCCTGGTGTATCTCTGGACTAATAGAGAGACGAAGGGAAAGGTCTCGACCCATTCGGACGGTACGAATACTCCGCTCTCCCCTCCTTCTTTTCCTTTTCCTGGGGGAAAGGCGCCGCGCGAATGGTTCGAGATGGTCGCCCCTCCCACCCCCCGGTCTCAACTGCGTTGGTCGGCATCGGACTTCTCGGAGGCGGAGGAACTTGCTGTTTGTTTTTCTATACCTACACTACCTGCCCTATTAGATGTATGTGACCTACCTAGATTGGCAAGATTGGTAACGCTGCTCCCCTCTAGTGCCTTTACTGCCGCTGCTGCTGCTGCTGCTGCCGCCACCGGTGCCTGTTGAAATCGCACGAGCAATGGCATCGGTCTCGTGTCCCGTCTACAATTCCTCCACCTTTGTACGGATACAGCTTCTTCAATCTTGCCGATGGAAGTTGATGCCCATCTAATGGTGCAATTGGAACCCCGATGTGGCTGGTCGACAAGAGCTAGCAGTGGACGTCATCAAGTATTGAAGACAGGAAAAGTTGCCCTTCTTCTTCTCCAACTCTTTCCCCCCCATGGCCCCCTTATTCTGCGTGTAGATTTGGACCGGATGAAAGGGTTTACTGGTTAGATTGCTGGGACCTGCTGTTCGTAATCCTTGGCCCCCGCTCCTCCCCTCCCCCTTGGACGTGCTTCTGGGTAAGGTACCTTAGTGTAAGTGTAGTTGTGGGCGGGGGACCCGGGACGAAAGATCCACACCCGGACACAGCCATCCCCGAGACCCGGGCCAACCAGAGTGACAGAGCCCCCCCTCCGACCCCTCCTCGACCCCCCGAGGCGCGGTTGCGGTTCGGTGGGGTCTCCTTTGCAGGACTGGAACCCAAAGCAAGCCAAGGTTCCAACGGCGGGGCGTGTGTCCCTCGTCCTTGGGCCGCCTGTGCGTGGGTTTTTTTCTGGCCCATCCTGTCCCATCCCGTTGGGAAAGTATCGCAAGCGGAAGCCTCAAGGGGGAAAAGGACCCAAAAAAGTGTGTGCAGAGAGTTGGCAGAGTGTGCGCCATATTCACCAACGGCTGGGCGCCGATGACGAGGGGCATCCAATTCGTTTCATGCATGAAGATGATGAAGAGACGGTGGGGGATGTTGCAGCTTGCCTGCAGCAGGGCAGCCTCTATCTACGAAGTAAGGTCTTGTACATTGATTGCCCCCGGCGGTTCCTGGGCCATGCTCATGGTAGAGAATTGATTTAGCCTTCCCTTCTAGACTTCATCCCGGACGACGCGATGAAGAAGAAGAAGAAGAAGAAGAGGATAGAGGGCTATCACAATCCGCTGTCAAATGCAGCAGCCCTGTTGAAGAAATCTCGTTTGGTATGGTGTGGATGGCAGCCGTGTCAAGTGCCCTAGTGCTTCTTTGCGGCGACCACAACGTAATTCCCCCTGATGCAGCACACTGACCTTGCATATACAGCGTGCCAATGCAGAGAGCTCGGTGGCTCTGGATGTACGAATGAGATGTTTCTCTCACAGCATAGAAGCATACTAGAATTGGAGCAGACGGGACGTCCAGACGCAAGGGAAGAAACCATACCTGGAGCCCCCACCACCTCCACTAGGACGCCGTTTTAACGACATGGCCGTCGTCCTCTCCCGCAACTAAGAAATTCCAGCTCGGGTCGCCTTGGGGCCAATTGTATTAGTCCTCTCGGCCAGTCGGAATCTTGGAACAAGGTTTGGTACTATTCGTAGTAGGTTGGTTTAGCAGTATATTGGTAGAGTAAAGATCTCCTCCCATGGTCTCTGCAGCTGTCCCTTCTGCAACACCTCCAACAAAGAAGCAAGCCAGAAGAGACAGCCAAAGTGCCAGTTGTCAGGGAGAGAAGCCAAACGACCCTTGAACGTTTGCCCCATCCGTCCCCACTCAACACCCCTCGTCTTCGGAGTCCATCGCCAGCGTATTTGCGAGGTTCCCACGTCCCAATCCCGGCACCTGTCAGGATTCTTGCACAGGATTAGACTATGCACTGGCCACAGACACCGCACTAGGACGTCTCCCCCGGAGCAGCCATTCCTCTTCAGTGCCAATCCTACCCGACTGGCAAGTCACGTCGTCGCCTGATTATCCTCAAAACGTCTTCCCCCCCAACCGTCACTCTCTCGTGGTGCCCTTCAGAGACCCCTTCTTTCATGCCTCCTCCCGTTTTACCGCACTCGGTCTTAAAGTCATCTTTTCTCTTTTGTTCCTCTCCGTCCCTTGGCTTCGATTCGTCTGCACCAAGGATATCACTATCCACCATCTATCTGTCTGAGCAATCGCGACCACCGATCGGGCGAACGACAATTAGCATCCGGATTTGGCACCAAAATTGCCAGCCCTCTTTTTCCGTCTTGGGGTTTCCGCGAACCCACCCGCCCCCTTTACTAGGAAAACCACATCGACGGTAGACGACCCTTCTCTCTCTACTCACTCCCGCCAAAAAGTTCCCTCTCCTCGGCATCCCGTCGCGGGTCATGGCATGACGTTCCAGGGCCGCCGACAGGGAACAGGAAGACCGCGATAAGGACCTTCGAACAGACCCCGGGTGGCACAGACGATCGGGACGGGTCTCGGCCGCACGCCGCCCATGGCCAGGAAGCGGCGCACCAAGAAGCGTAAGGGTACCAGCACACGACCAGACCCCGCGCAGGGCGCCTCGTCCAGCATGTCCACCACCGACGACCTCGCATCTTATTCGAGCGACGGCCTGTCGAGCGGCTTGCGCGGCGAGAGCGAGAGCGCCGCCACCGAGATGACGAGCGTCATGGGCAGCACCGAGGAGGGCTCGCAGGGCGGTCTGGAGGCCGACGAGGAGTGGAATTCGCAAGAGGAGGAAGGGATGGAGGTCGACGACGACGATAATTTCTCCGTTTTCGCGCCCAGCCATTACCCTCGACCGAGCGAGTCGCATCGGACGGAGATGCCCTATATGACGTCGCCGAATCACCAAGACATGTGAGTGTTGCAGTTTTTTTTTTCTTTTTTAATCCTTCTTTGCACTTCGCTGAGCGCGCTGGGTGGCGGCGAGCTTGACGTTGGCTGACTGGGAGGTTGATGCAGGTCGTCAACGCGATCTTTCATGGAACGAGAGCTGGATTATCAATGGGAAAACGGTCGTCGGTATTGCGGATCCCACTACCACCTACCAAACGATGAGTGGGAAATGTGCCGCATGAGCTTAATCCACAGAGTCTACCTCCACGTTTTCGACGGCAAGCTGAGCACGGTACCGATGGAGAACCCGCAGAGGATTTTAGACGTCGGCACGGGCATTGGCGAATGGGCGATAGGCATGGCGGACGAACTTCCCAACTGCGAGGTCATTGGCACCGACATTTCCGCCATAGCGCCCACGTCAATACCGATGAACTGCTTCTTCGAAGTCGACGACGCTGAGCTGGAATGGGAACGCGAGCTCAACTCGTTCGACTTGGTGCACTTCCGCCACATGATGGGAGCGTTCCTGGATTGGAGCTTCATCTATAAGGAGGCCTTCAAGGTCATTCGGCCCGGCGGCTGGATCGAGCTATTGGACTGGGACGACCAACAGGGGTTCAAGAAATTCCTCTCAGAGTTCCCGCCCACCTCTGAGATCCACGAGCTGTCGAGAGACCTTACGCAGGCGGGCGTCAAGGCCGGGCGAGCGAGGGGCGTCGCTCACATGAACCCGAAGTTATTGACGGACGCCGGATTCACGGATATCAGGCTGACGGAGCATACTATACCTATTAATCTCGAGTCGAGCGAGGGCAAGCTGTGGCTGATTGCCTGCATCGACGGCCTGGAGGCGGAGTGCCTGCGGCCGCTCACCAAGTACATGGGGTGGGAACCGGATCACGTCAAGACGGCGTGCCATAATGTCGCCAGGGAGATGGCTCGCCTAGCGAGAGATCCGGTCAAGTCGCATGGTCTTATCGTCAAGGCCCGCGTGTTGGTCGGAAGAAAGCCGACGACTGCGGTCACGCCGCCGAGGGTCTACCCGATTTTTAACGAGGATGCGGATGAGACGGACGATACCGCAAAAGAGGATAATCACAGCAGACACCGTGGCGATGAAGACGCTCACGATTCTGCAATCGAGGCGGCGGCTTGAGTCTCATAAACAGCCTGCCTCTTGGGAGGTGGTGCAGTAATTTTGCTCTATCCGGGTGATGAACAGCCCGGGCTGACTAGAGCAACGATTTTATCTTCATTGTTCACTGCATATATCGCGTTTCACACCGGCATAGGTTTGCCGGTCATATTTAAAGCGATCTCAACTTGCATAGCCCTCACGTATTACATTCTATGGGACCGGACGAGGTCGAAATATAAGCTTGGCTTTAAAGCGATCATCTGAGGATACTCTGTATCAAAATGGCGGATGGGTTCGAGGAGTGCTCGAGGTGCACAATCGCGCAGGTCAGAGGCGTCAAGAGATGTCCTAGCTAGGCAGATTAAGCAAGGCGATTGAAAGAAATATGAAATCAGAAGAAGATCCCCATTTGGTGCTACATAGGTGTCGAACTGAAAGAAAACCCCAGAGTGATGAAGATTAGGTACTAGAAAGGTGCTGAGCCACCTTACCTCAATCAGGTACCTACCTCTGAGCTCATTGCTTCAAAAGTACGTACCTCTGTAGCTCCGCTCCCAGTTTGCTGTGGGGGGCCGACCGAGCTCCCTGCCTATGTCATCCGTCCTCCATGCCAACAGCAACCAGACAACCATCAGCACGACCAGCCTCTGACGAGCCGTTCACTTTGCGCAACGGCAGCTGGCGCCCTCACCGACGCCCCGAAACGGAACCTCGATCTCCAGCGACGATGCCCGCATGACCTCGACCTAGCACTTAAATCATGGCTTTGAACCCCACCGACGGCTTCGCCGCCGGCAACGGGGTGCTGGACCTGGACGACACCGCGCTACCCATGTTCATCGTCGAGCGAGTCCAGCTGCAGTTCTCCATCGCTGCCGACTTTGTCGCCGCCCAGGTCGCGAACAATGTTCTCGTTTTGGCGTTGTCCAACGGCCGCATTTTGCGCATCGATCTGAATAGGCCCGAGGACATTGACGGTGCGTGACAGTCGACAGACGGATGACTTCTACAGTGGTGCTTGCTGGCGTGCTTGTGAATAGCCGATGCTAATTCTGGGCCATCACAGACATTGACCTTCCCAAGAAACCGGCAGAAATTGGCGTCATCCGCCGCATGTTTCTCGACCCGACCGCTTCCCACCTACTCGTCTGCACGGCGCTCGGCGAGAACTACTACCTCCATTCTCAACACAAACACCCCCGAGCCCTGGCCCGCCTGCGAGGCGTCTCCATTGAGAGCGTTGCCTGGAACCCCTCGCTGCCTACGGCGTCGACCCGCGAGATTCTGCTCGGAGCCGCCGACGGCAACATCTACGAGGCCTCTATTGAGACGACCTCGGAGTTCTACAAAAAGGACATCAAGCTCAAAAACCTGCACAAGCTCCCCGATGGACCGATTACGGGACTATGGGCAGACACCTTACCGAAACGGCCGGACACGCGACGGGTCATGATTGCGACGCAGAGCCGTCTATTTCACCTGGCTGGCAAGGTTGGCAGTGGACACGACAGCGGAGGCTCGGTCTACACGAGGCTGTTTGAGTCGGAACAGCCGACCATCCATGAGCTGTCGCGCTCCTCTGCTGCCGCGACGTCCGCTTTGGTCGTCTCGCCGGATCCTCCCGACCAGAACCCGTACGAGGACGAGTCGCACGAACGAGCCTATGCGTGGCTGTCTGCGCAGGGCATCTTCCATGGGCAGCTTGCCTCAAGTGCCGAAGGCAAAAAGATCTTTAACGAGTCGAGCATGCTTCCCCGCGACAAGATTTCTTCGTCTGACGGACCGGGCAAGCGGAAGGCTACGGCGGACTATGTCGAGGCGATTGCTCTGACCCAGTGGCACATTGTCAGCCTAATTGGTGGCCGCGTGGTTGCCACGAATCGTCTGACTGGGGAGGTGGTCTACGACCAAATCGTTCTGGATCCAGGGCAAAAGGCCGTGAGCTTGTCTGTGGATCTGCAAAAGAACACGTTTTGGATGTTCACCGCTCAAGAAATTTTTGAGGTCGTGGTCAGAGACGAAGACCGCAATATTTGGCAAATCATGCTGAAGCTGCAACAGTTTGACTCTGCATTGCAGCATGCGAAGACGCCCGCACAAAGGGAAACGGTGGCAACGTCATACGGTGACCATCTCGTGGCCAAGCGGCAGTACATGGAGGCAGCCTCGGCGTACGGACGTAGCAATAAGGCATTTGAAGAGGTGGCCCTTACCTTTATCGATTACAACGAGCCTGACGCTCTGAGAAAATACCTATTGGCCAAGCTGGGTACGTCGAAGAAGGCGGCCGTCATGCAAAGAATCATGATTGCAAGTTGGCTGGTGGAGATATTCATGGCGAGGCTCAACTCGCTGGACGACACCATCATCACGCAAGCCGAGTTAGCGGACGGCCTCAACCCGGCACAGTCCAGGGAACAGCTACAGGCAGTTCAGGGCGAGTTTCGGGAGTTTGTCAACAAGTACAAGTCCGATCTCGACCGGCGGACGGTATACGACGTGATAAGCAGCCACGGGCGGGAACAAGAGCTGTTGCACTTTGCCAACGCCGTCAATGACTACAACTACGTCCTGTCGTACTGGGTCCAGCGCGAAAGGTGGCCGGAGGTACTGACGGTACTGAAGAAGCAAACGGACCCAGAGGTTTTCTACCGGTACAGTACTGTGCTTATGACGCACGTTGCTTCGGACCTGGTTGAAATTCTCATGCGTCATTCCGACTTGAAGCCTCGCAAGCTGATTCCCGCGCTGCTGGAGTACAATCGCAACTTTGAGGGAACCCCCCAGCAGAACCAGGCCGTCCGATACCTGCAGTATGTCATCAACCAACTCAATTTCAAGGACTCGGCCGTACACAATACCCTTGTTTCGATATACGCCCAGACCTCCAAAGACGAAGCTGGCTTGCTGTCGTACCTAGAATCACAGGGAGAAGAGCCAAACTATGACCCCGATTTTGCCCTTCGACTATGCATTCAGCACCATCGGACGCTCTCTTGCGTCCACATCTACACCAGCATGGGCCAGTATCTTCAAGCTGTTGACCTGGCGCTTTCACACAATGAGGTTGAGTTGGCGTCTGTGATTGCTGATCGGCCAATGTCCAACCCCCCTCTGCGGAAGAAGCTCTGGCTTGCAGTTGCCCGCAGGGTTATTTCCCAGTCAAACGGGATCAAAACAGCCATTGACTTTTTGAAACGATGCGACCTGCTGAAGATTGAGGATCTGATACCCTTCTTCCCGGATTTTGTGGTCATTGACGATTTCAAGGAGGAGATTTGCACTGCTCTGGAGGACTACGGGCGCAACATTGACTCCCTGAAGAAGGAGATGGACGAGTCGTCGCAAACGGCGACGAATATCAAAGTGGACATTGCCGCTCTGGATCACCGTTATGCTATAGTCGAGCCCGGAGAGAAGTGCTACGTCTGCGGGCTGCCGCTGCTGAGCAGACAATTCTTTGTCTTCCCCTGCCAGCACTCTTTCCACTCGGATTGTCTGGGGAAGAGGGTGCTGGAGCAAGCTGGGGTAGGCACGAGCAAGAGGATCCGTGAGCTCCAGGTGCAGATTAGCAAGGGTCTGGTGAATGGAGCCAAGAGGGAGGCTATGATCACGGAGTTGGATTCCTTGGTGGCATCGGCATGGTAAGTCGACCTTGTCCTCGCGTGAAAATTGATGCTAACATGAGATAAAGTATTCTTTGTAGCGAATTCGCCATCAAGAGGATTAATGAGCCATTTGTGACGCCACAGGACAACCTCAATGAATGGAGGATTTAAAGGGTGGGCCTGGTTAGACGCACAGTCTCTCCATCTTTGTACATGACAAAAAAACCCTTGCATGAGCAAGCGTATTTAATGGCTGCAATACCCGGCGTTTCAATTCAAGAAGTATTTAGATTAAGTCTTTAAATATTGATCAAGTGTTGTACTGTCCACTATCTCGGTTTGACATGGTGTCACGGCTTCAAAACAGATTTGATCTATGATGGAGAGGGGCAAGTTCTCAAGAGATTGAGCAATCGGTGACGTTTGTTTGTGAGGTTGAAAGCAGGAGGATGGAGACGATGAGGCCGTAGAGGCCAAGAACCTCGGCGAAGATGAGGATCAGGACCATGCCGGTGTATAGACGGGGTTGCTGGTTCGTGGCTCTGACTATGAAGGAATTGTCAGCGAAATTGTGCTGTTCCTTGATTCCCTTTTTTTTACGCCATCGGATGGAGCAGAGGGCATTACAGCTGAAGGGGGAAAAAAGGGGGAGGAAGAGGGGTGGAGGGGTAAAGGGGGGTTGTCTTCCTAATTAACCTACCTCCCGCGTCACCAACAATCCCAATGGCGAACCCGGCCGCGAGGCCGCACAGCCCGACGCTGATGCCGGCCGCGAGCTGGAGAAAACTGGTGTGGAGGGCCTGCTTCTCGACGAGGCGGTTTGCGATGATGACGGCGGCGACGAGGCCGTAGATGGAGAGGATCTGGGCCATGATGGCGCAGAGGGTGTTTTGCATGAGGCGGTCGGGGCGGAGGACGCCGGCGGAGAAGATTGCCGAGGAGGATTTTGCGGTGCCGTAGGAGGAGCCCAGGACGGTGAAGATTATTGCTGCGATGCAGCCCATTGCGCCGAAGAAGGACTATGTTTTGTTTTCGGTCATGGCTGGGTCGACGAGTTGCGGGGGGAGACTGGAACAGGAGAGAAGGGGGGGGAGGGCGGAAGAGCAAGAGGGAAAAGGTGAAAGACAAACTTACGGAATATGCTGGACTGGAAGGGTATGAGGCGCGTCAGCCATAGGCATCGCGGGAACTGGGGCTTTTGAGATACGAGGGCTACGTACCAGCGGTCCAGGTTGGCAAAAACGATGTCGTCCATTCTAGGAGCGGCGGCGGGTGACTCGAGAACGGATTGCATTTAACGTTTCATGTGATTTAAGCTTAAACGAGTCCCGAAAGATTCATATCTGATGGAGATTGCGGGCAGTGGATAGGTAGTTGCGGTGGTTCACCAAGGAGACGCATTTTTAGCACACTTCTCATCTTATATATCATCCATGTGTGGTCCAGCGACGCGGGGAGGCCTACTGCAGCAGCTGCTACTTTGTACAGCACACGCACACAGCTCCTGTGACTGACTTGGTTGCCTAGAATGCAGAATCAGGCATGATGTGTGCCTGAGTCCAACCGTTTCTGGTAGGTCGAGTGCATGAAAATGATTGTGGTTTACATCTTGGCTGTTCTCCGTTGAACCACTCACAGCCCGCTTGGGCTGTCATGAACGGGATAATTCACTTCCGATCTTATTGTTGTTCTTCCGTAGGTTTAGGTGTCGGGCGAAAGGTAATGCGTGGCATAATGCTGACTGCCTTACCTAATCTCCCTTTTAAAGCTGTTCCAACACAGTAATTGCTGTCAACGCGCAGTCTGACATGAAGGAAGCGATGACCGCGTATGCGTGTGATTGGTTCGTGGTGGCGATGAGGGGGTGTGGAACGGAACGGTGCGGGTTAGGTTGGCGGCGGGAGTTGAGATCCACCGGTCCGCGCCCGGTCGACGCCCGGCACGGATAGAGCCAGCGGGGTTTGAGGTAGTCTACGGATAAAGGCCAAATGAAACATTCTCACGTGACCTTTAACGTGACTGCGGAGGATGATGCGCACGGTCCATGAGGAAAGGAGAACACCGTCGCAGAGATGCTTCGTTTTAGGGGACCTCCACTCTCCTGCAAAACCACTGTTATCGGCAAACCCCGTACCGGAGGAATCGAAGAGGCGGGCGAGCCAGGGGGTTTCTTACGCGCCAGACGTGCCAGATAGATGGCAAGACGACGGTGCCTTATCTGGACCCTACATAGGAACTGTCGCTACTACAGCGTCTCGTCACCGGTCAGGCGGGTTGGAGTTTTAACACTTTGGAGTTCACAGTATCCTTCTTTTCCCGTTGGCCTTGCTTACGGAATACTGTCCTCGGCCTACGGATGAGGGAAGAGCTCACAGCCTCACACATCCACTTCTCTTACGACACCAGATCCAGAAAAACGACAAATTACAGAGGCCGAGAGACCCGCGTTGCCTCGTCATCCCTTTTTTCGCCCACTGGATCCCTCCTCCTCCTCTATGCCTACCTATTGCAGTAGCGCCGGGACTTGGGGCTCTTGGCCTGGACGCTCTCGCGCGCCACATCCCGGCCATCGGATCTCGGCATCGGTATGGGGTGGGGAAAGGGAGCGTTTGGACGAAACGCTTGGGTGGATGACGGGCACTTTCCCTTTAGCTCTTTCTTCCCTACGTTCCCGTCCTTCTTCTCCCCCCGTCACGAGAATTGTCAATGATGCTAAGCCCAAGGTAAGGCTCGATGGCCTTTCCGGATTCCCGGAGTGGCAAGGGGCGCATCGGGTCTACCGGCTAGCAGAGTGAAGCAAATGATTCCTCACCGCGTTGCGCGTTGCGCAATCCATGAGCGAATTGTGCTGGCGATGGACGCTACGGTTCCCAATGTTGAGGGACGCAAACGGGGAAACGGGGAAGCTGCGCGGCCTTTTCGAAATCTCCAGGGACCCGAAGGTGGCTCAGGCGGCACCGTATTGCCGATGCTAGTACTCTGTGTCGTGGGTGAAGGGTGAAGGAGGTGTCGAGTGTCACCAATTTTAGAGGTTGCAGTTCTTTTTTCTGCTTCTCTCTTTTTTTTTCTCTCTCTATTACCGCGTTCGTCATCTTATCTCATGTCTGTTCGGACCGAGAGGATCTGAAGGAACGCCTCCCTCCTCGGCTGACCTCGTTTAGTCGGGGGTTCAGATAGGTGTGCTACTGTGGCAGCGAAGGCTTCTGGCTGACCAGCGCGTGAGATGTTGGTTCCAAAATGCTTGATATTCCGCTAGCTGAGACAACAAAATCGCTGTTGGTCGGGGGTTACATCGAAGCTCGCGTTTCACATGCAGCCTTTTACCCCTGCCCAGCTGTAACGCAACCGCACCGCACTGCGCCGCACCGCCCTCTTGCGCAGCCGCGGTGCAGGAGACACAGCACAAGTCGTGCGCTTCCTTCTCAGAGTGAGAAAGAGGGAATGTGGGAGCCATCATCACCCGGACAAGTAAGGGGGTTGGGTCGTCTTTCCCTACGGCCTACGGACCCACGGCACCGACCAACACGGTTGGTAAGAGGGCAGAGAGCACCGGAAAATAGCCGTAAAGGGGACGGGAATTCAGGGTGCTTAGAAGGGCAAGCACGGCCACGCGTCTTTCGACTCCGCCTGACATGGCTCACACTCACTAGCTTCCTGTTGCCAGTCGCACATTGCTGCGACTCTGTGATATCCTCCCCATCAACCCCCCCCCCCCCCCCCCCCCCCCCCCCCCCCCCCCCCCCCGCCCCCCCCCCCCCCCCCGCCCCGGGCGCCGGCGCCCCCCCCCCCCCCCCCCCCCCCCCCCGCCCCCGCGGCCCCGCCGCCCCCCCCCACCCCCCCCCCCCCCCCCCCCCCAACCCTGTCGTCGAGAAGGTTTGACCCGGGGTCGTCCCGGGCTGGGAGCCTGGAGACCCTGCGGCCTTCCCCTTTCTTGTCCAACCATCTTGCACCAATTCGCTGCTCCCGTCCGTCGTTGACATCCCTTTATCCTTCCGTTGTAAACCTGTAAGCGTGACCAAGTGGGCGCTGTTAGAGAAGCAGAGCCAAGTTGCTTCCTCTCCCGGCCTCGTCCAAACACACACAGCCCCGGACCCTGTCCGCAAACCCCCCCGGTCAACCCGCCCAGTTGCCCCCGCCGAGCATGACGACGAGGTCGAGTCTGCGACTGGGTGAGACCTTTTGGACAAGACTGTGGCGCTTGGCAGTGTCAGTTCCCGCCTTGCACATGGCCCGCGCTGTTGCTGTTTCTATTCCGAGAACAGGGGACTAGAATTTGGACTCTTGGTACAAAGAATGACGCCCATCTCATCTTTTTGCTGGCTCACAACTGCACTTTGCTCTGCTCTTTTGGCTTCCTCTGTGCTTCCATCGCATTGAACGATTCTGCTTGTGCTTTACAGCAACTTACTCATCCAAGCTCCCACGAGTTAAGTACAGACACCACCAAGTCTACTCTTCTTAAGTCCTCCGGATCGCCGGATTTTCCCACTCTTTGCGAATTTGTGTGTGCGCCGAAAGTAGAGCAGAGGCCCTTCCTTTTCGCCTTTCCGTCACTCTCTAGTCTGGTTTGGTGGTCCGGTGCCAGCCTACCCTCGACCACCCGCCCCCAATTCGTCTTCATCAGCAAACGCAAGCTCCGCCACCATCGCGGGTGACGAATCCCTTCTCCCCACCGTGCCGTCTACCGAACCCGCCCGCGAGTCGCCTACACCGAACTCCGGAATTTCGCAACCGACTCTTCTCTTCTTTTCTTTCTGTTCTAGCTCTTTTCTTTTCGTCTGTGTTGCGCCATCAATGACTTCATAGCACGACGCCATTCTCTTATATCTACTTCCTCCCGGCACCCCTGTCTTGGCGGCCGATCTAGGAGCTCGTTGTTCTAATTCAAAGACGTGCAACTTACTATACACACACACGCGTATACACAACTACGAGTTTCAAAATGAGGTCGACAACATTAATTATCCTGGCGGCTTCACTCTTGTCCGCAGAGGGAGTTGTGCTCAGGAAGAGTGAGAGCAGTGCACCAAAGGTGGTTGGGTTGGACCTGCACCGAGCGACAATACCGTACACACGCAACAGGAGAGACATGTTGCGCAAGAGAGGTTCTGTACAGGCGACTTTGGACAACTTGGTAGGCCCGAACCCCCCCCCTCCCAACACACTTTCAGTACTGCATCTAACATTGCTAAGGAAACTTTGTACTTTGTTAATGGCTCTCTCGGAACACCAGCACAGCCTATGCGACTTCACCTCGACACAGGCAGCAGTGATCTCTGGGTTAACACAGCGAGCTCGGCTCTTTGCCAAGGCCAAGGCAAACCATGCTCCGTATCCGGCACGTACTCTGCCAACGACTCGTCGACCTACAATTACGTCGGAAGCTGGTTCAACATTAGCTATGTCGACGGCTCGGGCGCAACCGGAGACTACGTGACGGACACATTCACCATTGGCGGATCTACTTTGACCGACTTCCAGTTTGGTGTCGGTTACACGAGTTCGTCGGCTCAGGGTATTCTGGGAGTGGGCTACAAGGTCAACGAAGTGCAAGTCGGGCGAGCGGGACTGGCCCCCTACGACAACCTCCCCGCCAAGATGGTTTCTCAGGGTCTCATCCAATCTAGCGCCTTCAGTTTGTGGTTGAACGACCTGGACGCGAGCAAGGGAAGCGTTCTCTTTGGCGGCGTCGACACCGACCACTTCGAAGGCGAGCTCAAGACCGTGCCCATCCAGAAGGAGGCTGGCAACTACGCCGAGTTTCTCATCACCCTGACAAAGGTCACACTCGGCTCAAAGACGTTGGGCAAAAACATGGCCCTGGCCGTCCTGCTCGATTCGGGATCCAGTCTCACGTACCTCCCCGACGACATGGTCACGACAATCTATTCGATGGTAGGCGCAGTGTACCAGCAAGAGGAGGGCGTGGCCATGATCCCTTGTTCCACGGCCAACTCGGGCACCAATATGACCTTCACCTTCTCGGACCCGGCCATCACGATACCCATGAACGAGCTGGTGCTCGACCTCGTCGCCGTCACCGGCAAGCGCACGTCCTTCTCTGACGGCGCCGAGGCCTGTCTCTTCGGCATCGCCCCCGCAGGCGACGGCACCAACGTCCTCGGCGACACGTTCCTGCGCTCGGCGTATGTGGTCTACGACATTGACAACAACGAGGTCTCCTTGGCGCAGACAAAGTTCAACGCCACGAGCACAAATATCATCGAGATTGGCAAGGGCAGCGGCGCCGTGCCGTCTGCCGTTGCTGCCGCGAACCCCGTGTCCGCCACGGACGGCCTCGTCCGCGGTGGCGGTGGCAAGAATGCCGCGCCGTCGTTGGCGCCACTGGCAGCATCCATATTTGCGGGCTTCGTTGCCTTTACGACGGGGTTCTCGCTCTTCGTTTTCTAAATATATGGAAAAAAAAAAAAAAAAAAAAGGATTCGCATTCTGTTGGAATGGGCTGGGGTGAGCTTCATGTCTCACACGCACGATTTGTTCTTTTTTTTATTTCCCCTCATAGCATTGCATTGCGAGCGCGTCTTGGAAGCTGTTGTTTTTTGCTATTGTCTACTTTTCACTATGTTATCAATCATGGCTGATGTATCTGCATCGAGCAAGGCGTTTTTGGAGGGCTATTCACACGATGACAGCGAATGTTTCACATGGCACAGCACTCATTCCTTTCGGAGGGAGGTTGTTGAAACGGGGGGTACACGAAAGAAACGGTCGAGACCATAGAAGTGGCAGGCGGAATTTCCAGCCGAAAGCTACCTATTGATTAGAACGAAACCCACAAGAGATACCTAGAGCCAGACTTCTTCACTTCAATAATGAAAAGTATTGGCCATTTCCAGGATTATTTTTCATCACAACCAACCAGCGAACCGTTTCATCTTCGTGCTATCGTGCTTCATAGCCCTGTATCGTTCAGCTGCTCCAACCAGTTCTTTTTACCCCTTACAGCAACGACCCCGCGCACTAACCACGTGCTCCATGACCTATCCCACCCATGCGGTAGCCCACCATGCTCCTTTCGTTTTCGTCTGACGTCGCGAGTCCCACAAAAGCACGAGAGCCACGCCCGATTCCGATACCGACATCGACTCAAAGGCCAAGAATGGGACGCGCCCGTTCGACCGGGGCAACCGCAGAGATTGACGATGAAGACGAAGAG